AAGAAGTGGTACGGCGCGTCGAGGTGTGTGCCGGTGTGCGATCCGAGCGTGAGCGTATGTACGTTCGCAAAGTCGCCGCGTGCGAGGTCGAACGTGAGTTGTGCCTTGTAGGAGGGGTGCCCGGGGCATGCGGGTATGCCGTCGGACACAAGCGCGTGCGAGAGATCGATAATGGTGCGCTTTACAGACGGGGCGCCGTTGGCGGAGGGGGAGAGGGGCGATGTCTCCATCTGTGCTCGGGTCCGACAGATGGCAAGAGGTCTGGGTGAGGAGCTGTGAGCAGTCCGAGGGAATTATGCGATTTCAACAAGTTCCTCCGGAGGTGCGGGCCGGCGCCCAGTTTCAAGAATAGTTGTTGTTCCAGCACAATGCAATGCAGACTTGCGGCTGATACATATCGACGACTGGGGCTGGGAGCACGGGACATCCGAATTTCACGCCGACAATGCTCACATGGCGGCGACGGAGTCCCACTGCGCCTCCATCCCGAGAAGTTTCCGTCAGATGCATTCCGCGCGAGCAAGAACTTGAAATGGGCATAGTGGAGCGATATCTTGCAACAGAGTTCTACGAACTCAAACCCAACTGTGCGCAATTGGACAAGAGGCCGCCGCTCTTCCAGTCACAGGTCATCGGTCCCATAACATCGAAGGATGACCTGACGTACACAGATATCTACGCATGAGTGCGGAGGGACCTGGAATCCACATGTGACCAACTTGTTTCAATGGTCCAATTCAATAATGTTGCCAGCGGTGGCTCGGCGAAGTTAGCCCCAGTCACCTACTCGAGCGCTAACTGCCTGAATTTGAAGGTTGAACCAGGGAATCGATGATAACGCTGGCTGGTAAGGATTTCCATGTAGCATCTGTAGCCTCGGTTGCACGATCCCGCCCATAATCAGCCATGGGATTAATCTCCGAGCCGACATCCAACATGCTTGCTCGCAGCCAACAGCGTCACATGCGGCGGTATGCAAAAGCACGCACAGGCGAACCATCGCACCCGCCAATCTTCAGCGGGACCAAATTAACAACCCATTCCCCGCCCAACAGGCGTTCTACGCTAGTCAGGTTCTCCGCAATCACACATCCGGCACCCAACAGGACGTGATGCGCGTCGAAGCTACTGTGCATCTCGGGATCGAGGAACGTCTCATCTGGGCTGAGGGTATCGACGCCGATGGTCCTGATGCCTGCTTCAACCATCTTGACAGCAGCGTCGTGCACGATGAAAGGATGATCAAAGTACGTTGCCGTGCCCCAGTGCTTCGCCCAGCCAGTATACAGCAGCAGGATGAGGCCGTCATCCTGGGCGGCCCGATGGCGCATTTCCTCCTCGAATGGCGCCAGGTCGGCCCACGTAATCTTCTCTCGATTGGCCTTGCCTGAGACGTCAATGACGAGCGCGGGCCCGATGAACTGGCGAAGCGGGACCTCGTCGACGCATTTTCCAGATGCGACAAAGTGAGACGGGGCGTCGATGTGCGTGCCGGTATGGGAGCCCAGGGAGAGCGACTGCACGTTCATACCATCATGGGGTATGGTTAGCACTGGACAGCAGCTGAATGGCGGG